ATTTATAAAGACCCAGAAGCCATGAAAACAAGAGACCTAATATGAGACAGAGAGATACCAAGAATATGTCCAAAATGATAGTAAATGTGTATTTGGGTACAGAAGTGGTAGATGTAAATAATTTTATTTTTGAGGTTTATTTATGATCTTCAAAATCAGAGCCATTGAGAGAGTGAGATCCTCCACTTGTTTGTTTTACTGCTCAAATGCCAGTAACAGCAGGGATGGGTCAGCTTGAAGCCAGGGACTCAGAATGCTGTGTGGGTCTATCATGTAGGTGGCAGGGAACTAAGCCCTTGAACCATCACCTGTTGCCATCAGAAGCACAGGGAGAAAGCAAGATCAAATACAGGGGTCAGGACTTTGAACAGGTCCCCAGTAAATGGTGTAGACACTGCAAATAATTTAATCCATTGCACCTCAATATTTACCCTAAAATAATCTAATTCATTCACAATTTGGGTTTTTCCAGGTAGACACGATGGAAAAATGAATACATGAATTGAGAGTAGAAGAGAGCTTACAATGAGGAAATACTGAAACCTCACATTTAGAGAAGTATAGAATAGAGGAAAGTGACAACACATAAGCTGAAAAATTTGTTAGAGGTCACAAAAAGGTAGGAAAAGGATTTGGAGGGGGCCTAGAATAAAAGAACAAGGGTAGGAGATAGTATTTACAGTTTTAAAAATTACAACATAGGAGAGAAGACACCAGCAATGGCAAGGGAGTGTGTGCCTGAGGGAAGCCAACTGGTGGTCTTCAGATGCTGGATGAAGACACTTCCCAGGAAAAAGAGGTTGCCCACGAAGATGTCAGAAGTAGGAGGATAAAGAAAGAAAACCACGAGTTTCAAAAACATGAGTAAACACTGGCAGAGTAAAAGCTGAAAATGAGGAATGGGGAACGACGAACTTAGAGATATACAAAAATATAGGAGCTGCCAGTGCCATAGTGACAGCAATGGACTAGAAAGTCACTGACTTCTAGTGGTACTTGAAGAAAAAGGAATGTAAACCCCATTGAAGGCCCTCAGGATCATCCCAAACATCCAATGGATGGAGTGTTTCTATTTGAAGTGTGGTTCCTGAGCTAGGAACCATGGTACCATCTGAAAGCTTGCCAGAAATACATCACCACAGGCTGTACCTTAGGATTAATCAATTAGAATCTACCGGTGAAGAAGGTCAAAAGGTATTATTTCTTAATAAAGTTTAAGAAAAGTATTGCTTTGATTATTTCTCTGTAACATATAAACACCTCTGTTTTCTTCTTGGGTTCCTGGAAGCTGGCAGCGTACCCAACAGAAGCTGCAGATGTTGACTGTCCTGGGATTGTCTTTCTCAAAAACATCATTGTTATGACATGACATGAGCATGACCTTCTTGAACAGACTATATTGTATATTACTAGTCACTGGTAACTAATATTTCTAAAACACAAAAAACGTTTCAAATTACTACTGAAAGCCAGAAAATGTCTTTTTTCTAGTGTTAATTGATTGACGGCTGAAAATTAGGAAAGTCACCTAGGAAAGAGAAACTTGGGGCTGGTGCTGATTCAGTAAGACCTTCATCTGCAGTGCCAGCATCCCATAAAAATTCCAGTTCAAGTTCTGACTGCTCCACTTCGTCTTGCTTCCTATGACTGTGCCTGGGAAACCTTCAGAAGATAGCGCAATCTCTGAGGCCTCTGCACCTATATGGGGGACTCAGAAGAAGCTCCTGGCTTCAGCCTGACCCAGTCCTGGCTGTTAGAACCATTTGAGAAATAAATCGGCAAATGTAAAATACCTCTCTCTGCTTCTCTGTAACTCTTTCAAACAAATAAATACATTTTTAAAAATAGCCCCAAGGCCCTGATGCAGTAGCCTAGTGGCTAAAGTCATCAGCTTACATGTACCTGGACCCCATATGGGTGCCAGTTTATGCCCCAATTGTACCACTTCCCATTTGCTCTCTGCTTGTACCCTGGGAAAGCAGAAGAGGATGGCAGAAAGCCTTGGGTTCCTGGACCTAGATGGGAGACCTGGAAGAAGCTCCTAGCTCCTGATTTCAGACTGGCTCAGTTCCAGCCACTGCAGTCATTTGGGGACTGAACCAGTGGATAGATCTGTCTCTCCTCTTTGTAAAGTCTGCCTTTCCAATTATAATCAATTAAAAAAAAAAAAAAAACCCAAAACAGGAACTCATAAAGACAAATCAAATATTTTAACTTAAAATACACATTACACATACATATATACACTGGCATGCATATTAATTCTTCTACAGTACTTTTCTGAGTATTAACTGCTTTCCTACAGTTCTACAACATCTTTCCTATGCAAACCACACTAAGTATGGATTGCTTTCAGATATTTATTTTTGTTATGCTGAACTGTGAAGCAATTTGAATGCACAATTTTCCTTGTTTTGCTTTCCTTATCTTTTACCATTCTCATCCATCCAAGCCTTAGCATTGTTTTTTAAAGATTTATTTTACTTTATTATTGCAAAGTCAGATACACAGAGAGGAGGAGAGACAGAGAGGAAGATCTTCCGTCCGATGATTCATGCCACAAGTGACTGCAATGGCCGGTGCTGTGCCAATCCAAAGCCAGGATCCAGGAACTTCTTCCAGGACTCCCACACGCCCTAGCATTTTTTAAATGATTTTTTTTCTTTTTTTTTACTTCTTTAAGAAATTATCTTTGGGGCCTGGTGCAGTAGTCAAGCAGCTAAAGTCCTCGCCTTGCACACACTGGGATCCCATATGGATGCCGGTTCTAACCTGGCTGCCCTGCTTTCCATCTAGCTCCCTGCTTGTGGCCTAGGAAAGCAATTGAGGATGGCCCAAAGCCTTAGAACCCTACATCCCATGGGAAACCAGGAAGAGGCTCCTGGCTCCTGATCGGCTCAGCTCCGGCCACTGTGGTCACTTGGGGCATGGATTAACAGACGGAAGATCTTTCTGTCTTTCTCTCCTTCTCTCTGTATATCTGACTTTCTAATTAAAAAATATATAGATATAGATATGGAATTATTTCTGAGAAAACAAAGATAAGTTCTTTTTTTAAAATATTCATTTTTTTTATTGGAAAGTTAGACATAGAGAAGGAGAGACAGAAAAGAAGATTTTCTGTCCATTGATCCACTCCCCAACCAACTGCAATGGTCAAAGCTGCACTGATCTGAAGCCAGGAGCCAGGAGCTTCTTCCGGGTCTCCCACGCACATGCAGGGTCCCAAGGCTTTGGGCCATGCTACACTGCTTTCTCAGGCCACAGGAAGGGAGCTCAATGGGATGTGGAGTAGGCAGGATTAGAATCGGTGCCCATATAGGATCCCAGCACAGGCAAGTCAAGGACTTTTTCCGCTAAGCTACTGCGCCAGGCCCCAATTCCCTATATTTTTGTACTTGCCATTTTGATGGTTTTCATACTATTAACTAAATTGTCTATTAACAGTGAAATCCTACTCTGCTAACATAGGGTGTTAATAAAATTCATCATCATTGGTAATGGGCATTTTTATCCCATTTATTGCTTCCTCCTGTCATTGATTGTATAGTCATGATTCAGCTTTCAGTAAACTGGACTGTTGTGCTGACCCCAGCAGGGATGGCAGTACAAGCCATCAGCCTAGGACCCTCAGGTCTGGAGTCTTTGCCGTGAAGGCAACAGGCCAGGTCTTCTGTAGCAACTAGACCATTCACTATAGCAGCTTCAAATTGAGCAGGAATTTCACAATTTAATGCCTGACTGCATTCATATCTGTCATGTGGAAAGCTGCCAGACTCCATGAATACCACCCTATTAGTAGTGTTTCAAAACCCAGACATTTCAGGCACTGCTCACCCTCATGGGTCACTCTGAAATAAAATTATTTGTAAGATACTTCTGCAACAGCCTGAAGCTCCCATAATCAGCAGAGCAGGAACTGCCCTGTGAATGCATTTTACTCAATGATAATAAATCAACCTAGTCTAAATATGAAGTGTCTTCAACAGGTTTTTAAAAATGTATATTATAAAAAAGCTATCCAAGTAACTTCATCCTTTAGTTACATTTTCCATGAACTTTTGGAAGTACCCAAGTAGATTTCAGTGATGACAACATGATTTAAACATGCAGGGTCATCAGGTTTTTAAAAATTCACTTATAATACTTATTAGAGAAGTTTTTCTTTTATTTTTAGAGAACTAACAAGCTCTAAAGTACTTGCTTGTGGGTTTAAAAGAGTTTCAACTTGAGGAGCAATATTAGCTATAGCAATGGAAAATGTCTTTTATTCAATATGAATAGTGAGCTGTTATCTGCATCATAAATATAACATCTCACATTCATGATTTCAAAAATGTTTTTCTTTCTGCTTCATGAGACACAGCTCAAAGGCACTGAGAAATTTTACTGTTTCCCATAACTTGATACAAAATAGGTACACAAAGAATGTGAAATTGAATTGAAACAAAAGTTGGAATTGTAATTCATTAGAAAGTAAGTCTTTCAATATAACTTCAAAGTTACAATGAGAATATTGAGTTAATAAAACTTCCTTATGAACAACTGAGGTACTTTCAAATTTAAAATATGAAGTCAATATATCTTGCTTCTGGAATAAAAATATAAGAGACCTATATGTAAAATGACCAAAAAGTTAGTTTTCCTAAGCAAGCACCGATTTTAAGAAAGTTATCAAATGCTCAGTTATTAGAAATTAATATAAAAATTTCTAAACCTAACGTTAAATCTTCTCTCTTTTCTTGAATTTTTATACTATCATATTTAGCATTTGAATTTTACTTAAGAACTATCAAGTGGTTCTATAATTGCTGAAAACTGAATATAAATTTCATGTGTCCCCCACTTAATATCAATCATAGATTTCACGCAAGAGGGAAAAAAGTTCATCAGATGATTCTACTAGTGTTCAAGACTTTATTTTTTTTTTCATATAGATAAAGATAAGGCTTTTAGGTGGAAAAAAAAAAAATCCCTTACCAAGACAATCAATAATCAAATCAATAACAGATAAATTTTAGCTTTGAGTCAAGTATTGTGCAATTGAAATCTAAAATCACAAACATTCAACATTAGTGAATTTCAGTTCAGGAAACAAAGAAGACTAGTAAAAAGGAAAAGGATCCCTTTCGACAGATGGTAATTTATTAAGCCTTTTTTTGTTTTGTTTTTAGTTGTGCTGAAAAGACATCCAGTATAGTCACTTCAGAAAATTCTTTGAGGAAGACTTAAGAATATTAAGTAGTGTGGACTTTAGACTAAAAAGCATTTTAAAATTTGCCAAAATGTGTTAAAATATATTTGCTCCTATCCAATTTCTTGTTTAAGGAAACATTTGACTGACAAGTAAATAAAAGACAAAAGCATTTACTTGCATTTAAAAATAAGAAATTCTAGATCTATAAAAAATTTCCTGGTTAGTATACAAAGGCCAATGTTTTGCCTTCATTTATCCACTTCAATGTAGTTAAAAAAATACAATATCAAATATTTCTCCCTCTCCCCACAAAAAAACTAGAGAAAATATTTAAAAGTGTAAGCATGTGAATATAGCTATGTATAACCTCAAATGGACAAAACACACACACATCACTTTACTTAAAAAATGACTCTTCATACTGTAAACATCTCTTCTATAGCTGGACATTTAGATGGTCTTTGGTATTACTAGTTATTGTGCTTTCAAACAGAAATTTACAGAACTTCTGTAGCAGAGCTACAAAGACATTTCAGATATAAATAAGAAAAATGCACTTGGAATAAGTTATAATTAGCTGCTTTTGCATAATTTTCAAAAACTACAGTGTATGCCTTGTCACAGTCTTATGAGAAAGAACATTTCTATTCCAACTCCTTAATCTTAAGGAACACTTAATTGTTTTGGTTAAAGATCCATTTTTGGAGTAGATCTGATGGATTGCATTGCACTAAATTTGGGTGTTCTCCATTTGCTGAAAGGCACATTTCAAAGTGTGGATTATACAGAAGTTGATCCTAGAATAAAAGGAAACAGATATTGAGTTTCAAGACTCATACTTGATTGATAAGTGGCTCCGTCAAAGCTAAAGAAAGACTTGGGTATTAAGTATACACCATTCTTACCAGGAAATCTTTTGGATATGAACTATTTCTTATAGAACCTTGTGGGTTTCTGGTGCAAACACTACTTTTTAAGTCACTACTATTTGATTTACAATGAAGCATTGCATAAATGGAGAGAAATATTACTAAGCCAAGCCTCAATTCAATTTTTAAACAAGAAGCCCTCCACTGATATACACGTGACAAGCCATTAAAAATCTCAATTGATAGTAACCATTCTTAAGCATTCTGGTGCTACACAAAACAATTTTCAAGTAAGAATTGCCATGAACCTGCTACCCCTTAAAACATGTGCTTAAAAACATGTATTCTGTCATGTATTCTCTTAACTCTAGATTCATGAACAATTACTAAGATAGGAGAGGAAAGAAATGGTCTCTTTAAGTAAGAAACAACTAATGCTTCCCCACCCACCCCCCACTCTACAGGGGGATAAATGTGACTATTGTTAACAGCACTGTAAGAAGCTCATAAAAGTAAAACATAAACAGCAATTATTTATAATTCATGGGAGGGTTGATTCGTATAAACCACGCTTCAAGCCATGTATATTTATCATTATTTTGTTTCTAAAGGTACTTAATTCATAGATACATTCTCTAATATTAGTAGATACATAGAATAATTAAGTTAATAAAGGCTGAGAAATTGTAGAAATAGCATTAATGGACTATATGAAACGGGCCTTCTCAGAGTAGCAACTACAGTTCATTACAATAATTAAATGAAAAGGTGAATTGACTGCAAGAAGTACCTTTCGGATCTCCCAGATCTGTTCTCCTGTGACAACTGTGTTGTGCCCTTTGTAGGTGCAGGCCTTTAGCTGAAGGAGGCTTTGAGTGGCATGAAGGCATAATTCCTTCTGAATGTTGTGCCGGATTTCATTTTGGGCAGAGTATTCAAAGTACTGTGGAAGAAAGAGTGTTATTATGGACAAAAAAGCAAACTAATATGCTTCATCGCAAAACAGGAAAATAGCAATGAATTCATGATTGCTTCCACAGAATAATACCATAAGAGCAGTTACTAGAAACACAAATGGACATTTTATGACAGAACGTGCTGTGGTCCTACTTCAGCTAATTACTTTTAGGTAGCTATTTAAAAAGTTATTGTCTTTCTTACAGTACCAGATTCCAGAAACTATCAGGTACAATGGAGGCTGGCATAATCACAACACAAAAATGGGCCTAAGAGTTGGCAGAAAGGACATTAACTACCTTTTCTCACAAACTTCTCTCTTGCACAAGTGTTTAGCAGTAAAGATGCATGTTGAAACACTGTCTGACATCAGGGTATCTGGCTTTGACAGTGGTTTCAGCTCCCAACTCCAGCTTTCTGCTAACACAGACCCTCACGGGAGGTACTGGTGAGGGCACAAGCTGTTGGGTTCCTACCACCAATGTGGCAGACCTGGACAGAGTTCCAAGTTCATGGCTTTGGCTCACTCTTGCCTGAGCACTGGCAGATATTTGGGGATTTAACTAACAGATGGGAGCATGCTCTCTCTTTCTCTCTCTCAGAATAAGTAAATCTTGAATAAGTAAATCTTGAAAATCAAAAATAAAAGTTTGGCTACAGGGAAAAAAGTTCGCTCTCTCTTACTCTTCTCAATTAAAGGCAACTTCATTAAACTAGAAACTATGACATTTTTTTTCCAAGCTCAAATTTCTCACCTATAAAATTTAACAGTTCTTACTTCACATGAGGATAAGAGGTTAACATGCATTTAGTACTTTGAAAAGTGACAAGTTCACAGTCAGCACTCAGTACATTTAAGCTAGCTATTGTTACTTGTAGGAATGCTTTTCTCCCCTCAGAGTCAAGTAATTTCTTTCTTAGTAGTTTCATGGAATTTCTTTCTCAGATGTTTCCATTTTATATTTTCTTAGTACTTTATCTTCACTACTTCCAATTTACCTTCAAATTCTGTTCCTATCATCCAGTGAGCCAATCTATTGTCAGTTTTTACAGCATTGAATAGATGGGCTACTGTCTTTGCTACAATAAAACCCATATGCCTTAGATGGTACAGAAAACTTCCCAGTTTAATATAAATCACTGTCCAAGTCATATACTATACTCTTCACAACACACAATCTATGCAGAATGTCTCTTTCTATAACTCAAACGCTGTTCTACAGTCTGAGTTCTGGCCAGAACACTCTTCTGATTCTTTTAGCTGCTGAACTCCTTCAAATCCCTTAAAAGCCACCTTAATATCATATTCCTTATTCAGCATTCCTTGAATGTGTCCTACATTCCAACATGGCATCTTACTCATGGCTTTCTTAGCACATCACAGATAACTTTCATAGCATCTGGTTAGAACTCTGTGTAAAGCTGCGTAGCTCCCCAAGAGTCAGATAGTGTACCATTAATGATATGTGGCCATTGCAACCACATGAAGAGTGAACCAGTAACTGGAAGACTTCACTCCTGGCTACCTTTCTGTGGCTCCATCTTTCAAATAAACCAACAAATCTTTAAAAATAAATAAATAAAGCAGGGTTGGAGCTGTGATATATAAGTTAGAGTGGTGCCAGCATCCTATTAGGGTACTGGTTTAAGTTCTACCTTCATTACTTTTGATGCAGCTCACTGCTAATGTTCCTAGAAAAGCAGTGGAAGATGGCCACGTGCTTGGGACCCTGCATGTGAGGTGGAGGGGTTTGTGGGGATGTGGGGGAAGTACTGGCTCCTAGCTTCAGCCTGTTCTAGCTCTGGTCACTGCAGCTATTTGGGTGTGAGTCAGCAAATGGAAGATATCCCTCTCTTCCTCCCTCTCCACCCCCCCCATAACTCTTTCAAATAAATAAAGCAAATCATAAACAAAAAGAAAGCAAAATATAATCAATGATTGTGTTAGGGTGACAGAAGAATCATTTTAAAACTTAAGGCAGACAACATTATTCTTCTGATCAAAAGGTTCTTGTCCAACTCAGAATTAAATCCGAATGTCTTAATGGAGACAACAATATCCTGAAAAGCCCAAGTCTCTTATGCTGCCTGTGAACTCACTTCCTGTCCCACTTTGCCTGGTCCATTTTGCTGAGGTCACACTGGCTTTCTACTTTCTCTATATTCTTGTCTCCCGCCTCCACCTTGCCCATCGGGCCTCCAGGACAAGCTTTTCCTCAATCCTCTCCCAGTGCATTCAGGCCCCACTTTAGGTCACCTTCCCAGAAAGGTCTTCCCCAACCTGTAAAATTAGCCACCACCCACACCCTTCCATCTCCCCACATTTCATATCTTATTTTTTCCTTCCTGTGGAACAGAAGCTCCACAGCATCAGTGCCTTTGTGCTTTACTCTGTTATAGCAGTACAAGTTACAGTAGTCTCTATCCAAAAAGATGCTGAATGAATATCCTTTTCCATTTCCAGATGTCTAAAAGACACCTATATTTGCTTGTAATTTAAAAATAATTTTAGGTATAGTTCAAAACATTTTATGGTAATGATAGGAGAAAAACAGAAAAAATACACAATATATCGTCCACTTTCATTAAAAAATATTAGAGGAAGCCTGAAATTTATGAGTATTTATATTTAATGCCAAATTCTTACAAATGAGAAAATATTTTTTTTAAGATTGTTTTTTGTTTGTTTTTATTGGAAAGTCAGATATACAGAGAAAAGACAGAAAGATCTTTCGTCCTTTGATTCACTCGCCAACTAGCTGCAAATGGACAGAGCTGCACCAATCCAAAGCCAGGAGCCAAGAGCCTTTTCTGCATTTCCCCTGTGGGTGCAGGGTCCTAAGGCTTTGGGCCATCCTCCACTGCTTTCCCAGGCCACAAACAGGGAGTGTATGGGAAGTAGGATGGCCTGGATTAGAACCTTGCGTCCATATGGGATCTTTGTACGTGCAAGCGAGGACTTAGGCAGCTAGGCTACTGCACCAGGCCTGAGGAAATATTTTCCTTTGTTCAAAACCATAAGTGCTACCAATATAATGCAATGTTATTTCTAAAAAGATACAGCTGTTTATATAAGTATTTTTCCTAATAGATATTTAAAATGCATGCTCATATTTATGTTCACACATGTACCAGTATATACTATGTATGTCCTATGATATTAAAATGCATGCTCATATTTATGTTCACACACATATGTACACAGATATATATACATATATGTATGTATAGTATAAGTATTTATATACATGTATCCACATATGAAAGTATATTTATATCTGTATCTTCAGAGGTTGATCATAAAATATAATTTTCTAGAAAGACTAGGAGCCTAAGCTGTTTGAACACAAACAGTCCCTGTCAGGGTCAGTGAATTTGTTAAATGAACAAATAAAAAAATATGCTTGAATACTTCCAGTAGTCAACTTGCCAAAAAAAAAAAAAAGGAAAGCAATTTTAAAATTAGAAACTTACTTAATATACCTTCTACTCAAGGTAGACTAAATAGTAACATTCAACACTGGAATCTTGTTTGGTAAAAGAGTCAGACTGATAACACTGTGATGTCATAAATAAAGGAGAATTAGAAATACACCTCTGTGTATGTGTGTGTACAGTGGAGGGATATTAAAATAACTGCCACTCAATAAAAAATTGGATAGGATATTGCTGCTTGAGCACTAATGTATGATATAATGTTATTAAATCCAATTAAATATGGACTTTGTGTAGGATCTGGCAAAAATAATGCAAATATCAAACTTCAACATAGATAGGATTTTTGAAATTTGAATGTCATTATCCTATTCTTCTCATTTTCTTTTCTACTAAATGGGAACTATTTCCAAACCCAAATTGTAAACCAAAATAAAGTCTTCTATAACTTCAATAGTAGTTGCCAGACTTACTCTAAAAACATTTCACCCACTAATTTCCCTGAGTAAAACACCGAGGTAGGCCTTCTGTAAAACCTGTCTTGCTTGTGATTTCAAGCGCCAGTAAGAAAGGAGGACTTCACACAGCGCTCACCTGGTTTCCTCCAAGTTCATGACACGTGTACAAAATCAATGGCTTGTTCCCTTGATTATTTTCTCCAACATCCAGGCACAGAGGCTGGCCAACGGTTTTTACCTAAGGGAAAATTTTAAAGTTGTAAAAAGTTTTTGAAAACTTTATATGGTTCACATGTTTTCTCATCTACATTCAGGAACTCACGTTAATAATAACATAAAACCTTAAAAGCAATAAACCACAGAGTATTTCAGCAATTTTTGCTGAACCACATAAATGTTGGTGGCAAGAAATACATCCAATAAAAAAGGAATAGAAAAATACTTACATATCCAGATATAACAGGATTAAGTTCTGGCACATATACTTCTGGATAAATAGTGTTCAGATACCATGTAAAATTTTTACATTGAAGGCGGTTTTTTATTTCAAATCTTTTTGAAAGATCACCAAATGATTTCTGGGAAAAAAAAAAAGGATGTGTATGGAACACTTACAAAAAACAGTGCTGATAATGTACTTTAAATGCTATTATCAGAGCTGGTATCTGGCCTAGAAGTTAAGATGCTGATTAAGATGCTTGCATTCCACACTGGAGTTCCTGGGTTCCACCACTGTTCAAGCTCTTTACTCCAGCTTTCTGTTAATGTAGACCATTGGAGGCAGCAGTAATGGCTCAAGCAACTGGATTCCTGCCACCCATGTGGAAGGCTTGTATTAACTTTACAGTTTCAACTTTGGTCTTGGCCTAGTTCCAGCCATTATAAGGCACTAGCAATATAAACCAGTGGATGATAGCGATGATCTCTCGCTCTCATCTCTCCATTTCAGACATTTCAGATAAGAAAGCAAACAAGATACTCCAATATTTGTATTTATATTAAAGTACTAAAAAATTGGGGCCAAAATGCAAGACACAATTTAGTATTATTCACCATCGATTAAAGCTGAAAGACCATTGGTCTCAGAATTAAGTCTTACTACAATACTTATGACAATGGGGTATTTTTTTCCTTCTCCGTTTTGGATGTTCCTGTGACCATTCTTGTGAAACATCCAAAACGGACTTTGACCTAATATTAAAAGTGCCTTAAAAGTGAAGTTGAGAAGACAGAGATAGATAAATAGAGTCAATACAATATGTGATTTATATCTCTCTTCTGTCAAGATGCTTAAAGCAACACATCTGAGAAAATTTTTCTAGCTTAAGAATGTTACTATTAGCAAATACCTCAACTAGACAACTAGTAAAAATGTAAGGTAACTGAAATTTTGTTTTCCTTATTTTAAGGGATTAACGTTTTTCTTAAAAGAAAGTACTACCTAACTGAAAAAATATTTGATCTCCTAACAAAGTTTTAGGTGAACTTAGTGTATGAACAAGTAAATATTAAAGCTTGTCAGTTCAACTAAGGAAAATATTTTATTATGTCAACTTTGATTTCTAAACCCAGAGATTTTAGCAAAAAAAAAAACAAGGCTCTCAAGGACTTTCAGCTGACTTAGAAATATTTCAGGAAGATCTATCTGCTCTGGGGTAAAAATAGGCGTTTTCTGGCTACCTGTCCCTTCCTGGGTGACAAGTAGAACAAAGTTTCATGTAGCACTCACTTGCCTGTTTGGTCAAGTGCTCTTACATGGTGCACAGTCTGCTCAGTTTGTCTTGATAGGCTTAAGGAGGAAAAGCAATGTACTACAACAGTGTGTTGAGTTTGCAACTGATAGGCTATAGTGAAGCATTAGAGACCAAAGAAAAAATGGAAAGAGGTAGTCTAATTTTTCTTTACAAAAATAATCAACATGCTTGAAAAGCATTTATTTATTTGCTTGAAAGGCACATGCTCAGAGACAGACAGATACTTACGTGCTGGATCAAGACAGACAGAGAGAGAGATAAACAGAGAGACAGACAGACAGACAGACCTGTGTGCTGGATCACTCATCAAATGGCCAAAACAGGTAAGGCTGAGTTGAGAGAGGAGCTCCATCCTGTCCTCCCAAATGAGTGGCAGGGGTTCAGTTATGTCTTTTCCACCTTTCCCCGTACATTAACAAGAAGTTGGTCAGGAAGTGGTGTCCCTAAGACTATATATAAATGGCACTCTGATATGGGTGCTGGCATTGCTAGCTGCAGCTTAACCTGTGCCACAAAAATACTTCCCAACTCCCTCTACCTTTTTACAAATATTTAGCTGTTTAAAAATGTAATTGTTTTAAGCAAAACTTTTAAAATATTTGTTTCACAAGAGAGCAAGAGAAAAGTTCCATCCTGATTCACTCCCCAGATGGTCACAACAACCAGGACTGGGTCTGGCCAAGTCAGGAGATTGATCTGGGTCTCCTACATAAGTAGCAGGGATCCAAACACTTGGCTCATTGTCTATTGCTTTCCTCAGGCCACTAGCAGGGAAGTGGATAAGAAGTGGAGCAGCCAGAGCATAACCAACAGTTACATGGCTACCAACAACCATGATGCTAATGCTCCCGGCTCCCAATTAAAAAAACTATACTCCTTCCCTCAAAAACAACAAAAAAAATTTTTTTTAAAAAACCCACTATTTATTTACTACATAGAAGTTGGTGGCATTCACCTAAGTTTGTTAATGTATACTTAACATCACATCCAATATTAAGGCAGTTGGAATTCAGTTTAACATATTAGTAACCCATGCTCTACAGAGCAGAATATAGTTTTAGGAGTTAATTTTGTCTTATTTGGCAGAGGCATTGAGAAACAGGACATGAATTCCCTATCTCAACCTGGGAAAGGAGGAAACAGAATCACTCTAAGCATACTCTCCACACCCAGCCACTTCACATTTCCATCACAGTCTCAAAAGGACTTTGTCAAGGTTAACACCTTCAGTGGGTACTGGAACTGTAAGTCGAAAAGAAGCCTTTGGACTGGTGGTGTGGTGCAGCCAGTTAAGCTTCAGCTTTACACTGGCAGAGCTCTGAATCCATCCTGTTTGTCTACAGCCATACAGCCCTGAACACGCCCAATCTCGTCTGAATCCATCCTGGCTGCTCCACTTCCAATTCAGCTCCCTATTAATGTGACTGGGAAGGAAGAGGAAGACAGCTCAAGTGCCCAATGAGAAAGACCTAGGCTCCTGATTGTGACTTGTTGCTATTTACATGGTGAAGCAACAACACACGGAAGATCTTTCACTCCCTATTCCCCTTACCCTCTGCCCCATAACTTCAGCTTTCAAATACCTAAATAAACATTTTTTTAATAGGGGGAAAAACTTTGATATCTCTGGTTCTAGTTCATGTCACATTACAACACTGTATTTATTTCCAATTCATACAGTCACCCAGAACCTTATTTAGGTATAATCACATCTCCTGATACCAACACAAGCAGTTCTTCTTAATCTTGTTTTCTTTTCAATAAAATTGTAAATCATGAAAGGGTATTAAAAAACAAAACATCTTCCACTTTAACAAGTTTAATATAAAATTTTAAATAGCAATTTCCTAATCATTTCCTTAAAATGAAAAGAATTAGATCCCATAAATTATACATTTTAAGAGTCTAAATAATAATAATAATAACAACCTTTGCTGCAAAGTCAAACTTTGGATGTTTTACACTTGAAATGATTCAAATCAACAAAAGGACATGTGAACTTGCAACAGATTTTAACTATAATTTAATTTTTAAATTCTGACTCACCTGTTTAACAATTTTTGCTGCATCTGCGTTTCTCCTATAAAATATTTCCTTGTACTCATCCATCCAGACTTCTGCAAGGCGGACTTGGTTGCGAGCAATCACCTGAGTGCCTTTTGGAAAGGAATGAGGGCTTTTGCTGCGAAAGACATGTCCAACAACAGAGCAAGGCATAATCTCCAACTGCCCACCACATTGCCATACCTGATAATTAATGATATTTGTTTAAATTCACAGTATTTTAGGAAAATCAAAGTGTTGTTTTTAATGTTCACCTTTAAGATAGTCATAAAAATAAAACAGATTTATTATAATTTCACAAACTGTTCCCTCCAGTTCCCTTTATGCTCCTAAATGGTATAAACACTGCAGACAATAGCACAATTTCAGAAGTTAACAAAATAGTGGTTTTGGCTTCTTTTTCGAACGTTTATTTTTTTTGTAAACTGTTGTGCAAATTTTCTAATGTGGACAGAAGACCAAAGGCTCTTGTGCATCTGACTTCCATCTCACATGACCCATGTGGTCATCTGACTTCCATCATAGGGTTTCTCTGCTAAGGCAGGAGCTAGCAAGTGGAACTAAGCTGGCCAAGATTCTATTCACACGGCACGTATTCAATATTGTAATAAAGAAAAGAAATCCATATAGCCACTATTATCAAAGCACAATCTGTACTTGTGAAGTACTTGGTAACTAAAAAAATATGCTGAATTAAAGGAAAAAACATCAAAATCACATTTGTATTAAATCTAAATGACAAATTATGACATTGATGTTTTTTGTTACTACATTAAATGCCAACTAAACAAAAACCAAAACAGTCACATAATACTATGGGCTAATGTCACAAAGTAGCCATAATAATTTTTTTTCTTTTTTCAAATGAATGAAAAACTCAATGAAATGTTCAGTTCAACAAACTGCTGCATTAGAGGTTGGAAATATTTAAGTGAGATGAATTAAAAAAAAAAAAATCTCTGCTCTAAGCAGTTCAAACTAAGCTATATTCTTCACTAACATAATGAAGCCAGAATCAGAATTAAAATCTAACTCCTTGTTCAGTTATTTTCTATTACATCCTATACAAAGGGATGAAAAATATATGGCAAAGTTATTGCAGAAAATATTGTACACAATCAAATAAACAGGCACATGCGAAGAATATCCAAAGCCTTTATTTTGACTTTTGAGCTTACTTATATAAACTTTTGGAAAAAAAAAAAAAAACTCAAATCAAGAGTTAAGGCCAATGTCCTTTAAAATTATACATGAATGTTTTTCCATTCTGACTCCCTTGATAACCAAATCATTTCCTGAAGCACTCGTTTAATTATATTTATCTTGGCTAGCACCCAGTAACTACAAGTGCATTGCATTAATTGCTGTTACTGCCTAGAAACAGGTGTTCAACTGAGTCCTCATTATATTGGCAACAATAAGTAAAAATATTAAGTTACATATTAAACGGAAATAATATTATGCCAAAACTTCCAGGAACTTAATTTTATAAAGCAAACAAAAAAAAAATTAAAGATTGTACACATTTGCAATCAGAACCAGCCAATTAGAACAGAATGTATTTCACTGTTACATATGTGTGATATAACCTCCAGAAACTTACTCTGAAAGACATTTCTATATTTTCACCTCCCCAGATTTCCATTTCTTCATCATAACTTCCAATATATTCAAAATATTCTTTGGATATAGAAAAAAGGCCTCCTGCAAAAGTAGGTGTTCTGAAAAATAATCCATCATCAAACTCTGTTACAAAATCCAAACAAGATAAAGCAGCATATTTTCAGATCTGGACAAAGTCAGTACATACTACAATTTCTATGCTTTTACATGAATAAATGAACTAAGAACACTGTTTCAAAACCAAGTGGTGATAGATAGAGAACAACAAGGAAAGCTTAGAAACAGGAAACGGGCAGTGAGATGCACTTATAACTCACTGGGTGGGACACAAAGATTAGTTACTCCTCACTAGGGAGTAACTAAAACTGTTCACCTAAACTTTTGACATATGTCTTGTTAGAGTTATAGAGTTAGACTACCTGAAAAACAGCCAGGTTCTGCAAAATCGTGCTTCAACGATATGAACTGCTAAATACTAAAATTAAAATAGACATGAGACAGCTGAATAGTAATCTATAGCCATTTTAAGGTGTATAGAACCCAATTGTATATAAACTAATAATTGTAATGTCAATGTAGAAGTCATAGGATGTGGTTCAGAACTTGCACTCTTTTTCTCTCTCTCTCTCTTTTAACATGCTGGTTACACAATACCATGTCAACTAATTCCATTACGTTATAAATTGTTACTGATATAATGTCGGGGTTTTTAATTGATTGGGATGATACTCTGTCGGCTCTACCTTCAGACCAGAGACGGTCTCCCCAAGAAACTGCTGAACTTATCTGGACAATAAGATGCTGGACTTGGGCCCAGTGCGGTGGCACAGTGGTTAAGGTCCTCGCCTTGCATGCCCGGGATCTCATATGGGTGCCGGTTCTATCCCGGCAACCCCGCTTCCCTTCCTGTGGCCTGGGAAAGCAGTCCAGGACAGCCCAAAGCTTTGGGACCCTGCACCCACGTGGGAGACCCGGAAGAGGCTCCTGGCTTCAGATCGGAATACAATTGGCTGTTGCGCTCACTTGGGGAGTCAATCATCGGAGGGAAGATCTTCCTCTCTGTCTCTCCTCTCTGTACATCCGCCTTTCCAATAATAAAAATAAATCTTTTTTAAAAAAAGATGCTGGACTCTATGCTTTGTAGATGCTAGCAAGGAAAGAATCTCAACTGAATCTGAACTGTAGTAATGCAACAAGAATCCATCATGGGGGAGGGGAGGGGTTTGGGGAGGGAAGGGGGGAACTTCAGAGCCTGTAGAACTGTGTCACATAATGCAATGTAATCAATAAAAAATAAATTTAAAAAAATAAATTTGAATAGAAAAAAAAAACCAAGTGGTACAGAAGATGGACAGGAGAAGCACTTCAAGTGTCCTCTCCTGACGGAGCAAGGTTGCTATCTTCTCCTAAACCCACCTAGAGATTCTTAAGTAATGATTTATAAGGAAGACACAACAACACACATGTATCCATCTTGTTAAATTCTGCTTCCTAGTCAGTAACATCATGTGGATGGTCACAAATGACTTGTGCATCAATAAATGATGTTTCTGTTCTCTCTACAAAAATCACAGGTTCTTTGCTTGATTTACTCAGTTGCAACTGCATTACAAGTAGCAAGAACGCATGTTCAATACACGGCGTATGGCATAAATGTGAGATTGAGACAGAGCCATCATCTTACTTAATAGGGTAGGTTTCATCTTTTCTTCGTTGCTTCTCATGATCAGGAAGCGACTCCCAGCCGAATGACAGGCTCCAATCAAAATTTCCACGGTTATGGTTATTTCCGTAAGGAGAAGGTTTGTTGAACTCAAATGTGTTCATATCTATGGATGCGATATCAGGACTCACAACGGCAGTGTAGTTCTCAGCTATTCTGGCTAGCAAAGGTTCTAACCAACCATAGAAACACTCACCTAAGGGACAGAGAATTTTAAATAATTCAATGAAATTATTTAAGTTTTGCTTTGTTCTTGTCTTTAGTTTTCGGGTGATAGTTTACAAAAAATTAAGAATGACAACATTTGTATTTCAAGCATATATATATAACAGACTTTTGGGGGGGATAAATAGAAAGTCTAAGTATTTAAAGTGTACAATGTGAAATATTTGAATTTTTACATTGTAAAATGATCACCACAATTAAGCTAATTAACACAGCCATTGCCTTATGTAGTTATCTTTGTGAATATGTGTGTGTGTGTGTGTGATCAGAACATTTGACTTCTACTCTTGGCAATTTTCAAATACATATTACTATTATCTATCGTCACCACGCTGAGCAACACATCTCCAGCAGGTAAAGACCTCCTACAGGATTCTTGTGGTAAGACAAGAACAGGATTAAGAAAAGCAGGGAACAGAAAAGGTAAGAAAACATTATAGATTATTTTTTCTATTAGGAAAGAAGCAAAACGACATTCATGCATAGATTTCAGTTGTGTCCCTTTAAGAAGGAGAGAATGTTTTACTAGTGCACATCACTTAGATCTCACTGTGTTCTGATTTGCACTTAACTCCTTTTGAATAAGATATGGCAACTGAGCTTTAGGAGAAAATAAGAAATCAGAAACTCTAATTTTAGAAGAGACTGATGCTGTGCAGCAGGTAAAGCAACTGCTTGGAAGGCTTGCATCCCATATCAGAATGCCTGGGCTAGAATCTCATCTCTGCTGCTTATCCAGGACTCTGCTAAGACATACCTTGGGAGGCAGCAGGTAATAGTTCAGGTATGTAGGCCCTACTATCCATGCAGGAAACCAGTAAGTTAATGGCTTCTAGATTGGGTTGGCCCAGCCATGATAGACGGAGGCATTCAGGGAGTGAATGGGTGGAAGTTTTTTGTTTGTTTGTTTGTTTTCTCTCCCTCTGTCTCTCTCTGATGCTCTTTGAAACAAGTGAATATAAAGTAAGACACTGAAGAAAGATGCTTCAGATCAGTGCTGTGGTACAAGTTAAACCGTCCTCTTTGCAACCACATCAAAGTACAGATTTGAGTCTCATTTTCTCTAGTTCTTCTCCAACTTCTTGTTAACATGCGCTGGATAGCAACAGATGGTGGCCCAAGTACTTGGATTTCTGCCACCATGCATAAGACCTAGATGAAGTTCCTGGCTCACTGTTTTGGCTTACCCCAATTGTGGCTATTGTGGGCATTTGAGGAATACCCTAGCATGTGGAAGATCTCTCTTCCTCTTGATCAGTCTACTTCGCAAATAAATAAGTCTTATAAAAAAACAGGTTGAAGAGTCCATTCAAAGCTGCCCCATCCTGAATGGAAACAAAAGAGTCCTGTGGGAAGTCTGGTCATGGTTGTTTCATATCATATAGTGAGTTCAGACCATGCATGTATACTTTTATTCTGGGCTTCCCGATGGCTGCAAGTGGACAATTATGGTCCAGGAAGATCATCACACATTGCTTGAGGGAAGAAGGCCTCATTTGACCTTATTGTTACTTTGGGCCAGGGGAAGGAATACTAGACAATCATGTTTTTCTTTGTGAAACAACTCTTCAGGGTTATCTATGCCTCTTCATTTTTCAAAAGTCTGGCATTATTAGGATATTGGGTATATAACTAATATATTTATATTTATTCCTATATTTATTTATATATTGGGTATATAATACATGCAATTATATATCCAAATATCCAAATTGATACATATCCAATATATATTGTATATCCAAATATTTACATTTATTTATGTATATTGAACTATATATTTATATATTCAAAAACCTTTCCACAACAATTAGCAGATATTCAAAACTAATCCTTAAGTGAAATATAACCTATGGGCTGGCCAATTCAAAGATAGACAGCCAAAAAAGAAAACACATTAAACTTACTTCTCAAAGGCTGGTATTTATTAACACCTAGAATGCGCATTAATGTTGACTCTACAAATACTTTCTAATCAAAAGAATTAACAAAATAAAAATTAAAGTACAAAGGAAAAGATCAGTAACAATAAAAACACACCGAAGTTGACAATGTTCGTGGAAGAGATACCACAAAAAAACTGGAAAGTGGCTACCCTTAGGGTGTAATGAAAATAGTTTGACCAAGATTTGACATGCAAAATAGAAAAACACCAGTACTAGGAAAAAGTTTAATGGAAGGGTTGATCACACTGAAACAAACTGTCATGTATTTTAAATGCAGGGATTAAGAGTAACAAAGACAAAACATCTCTGTTTTCTTGTGGTATTGTTTTTCGCTTTGTTTTGTTTACAGTATAAACATCTGTGAAAAATAATATCCTGGGCCCGGCGCGGTGGCGCAAGTGGTTAAAGGTCCTCGCCTTGCACCCCCGGGATCCCATATGGGCGCCGGTTCTATCCCGGCAGCCCCGCTTCCCTTCCAGCTCCCTGCCTGTGGCCTGGGAAAGCAGTCGAGGACGGCCCAAAGCCTTGGGAACCTGCACCCGCGTGGGAGACCCAGAAGAGGCTCCTGGCTTCGGATCGGCATAGTATCGGCCCGTTGTGCTCACTTGGGGAGTGAATCATCGGATGGAAGATCTTCCTCTCTGTCTCTCCTCTCTGTATATCCGCCTTTCCAATGAAAAAATAATAAAAATAAATCTAAAAAAAAAAAAAATAAATAATAATATCCTAAGCTAGGAAAACTTGCCAGGGAAGCAGGTCACGGTGGGATATGACAGTAGAGGAGACAGAACACTGAGGCAGTAGGAACTCTGGGTAAAGAAAGTTGCTATCTGCTTGGGCTGTCATTGCTAAAGCCACCAGTTGGAAATGCTTTTAAGAAAATGAAATTAGGAACTTACAGACAAGGATTCCTTACTTTTTAAGTCAGAAAGAGTGGGAGGGGAAATGCCACAACGAGGTCTCTACATACATACTTACAGTGAGCATCCAGAAATGTGAGCGTTTCAGCTGTTGCTACCGTTGCTCCTAGCAACCGAGCAGTGATCAGACCTTTTCTCTCTCTTTGTCTAACTATTTTTACTATAGAAAATTGTTTCATATATTCCTCTAGTTTATCGTGCAAGTACTCTGTAAGGAAAGAAAAACCAGGATTAACTTTTTGAAGATATTTTCACATGTAACATATGAAACGGAATGAAATGCCAAAGCAGCAATTTCTTCTAATTCACAATCTCAGCACTTGCACATATTCTTCCAGTAAGGTAAAAACTTTACTTTAAATATTGTCTGGAAAAAAAAAAGGAAAGATATGCATATCATAACAAAAGCAATATGACACATGATATTTTAACATACTTATTATGTATATTTCATATCAATGAATACCATTTACAGAGACCTGAAAGAAATAATGGCCCTCGGGATCTAAGATGACCCATTAGGAATCTGAGAATACTGACTCTGGGAGTGAAATAAACAGTATAACCAACAAGCATTCAACATTTTTTACAATTTGCACTTAACTCCAGAAACCTTAAAGAAAAACTAAGTAAAAAAAGATGCTCTGACATTTAGGTAGTACTGATCAAAATAATTTAGGACCAAAATGCTGAGAAAAAGGTGAGTAAGAAAGTCCAGGGCTACAGCAATTTGGGAAGATTTCTACAGAGTCAGCAAAACAAAAACAAAACAAAACCCAACAACTTTGGAATCTTTTATCAGAATTGTTTTTAGTAAAATAAAGAAAATATGAAAATAATAAAGCCATGTAAATTGGGAATAAACTTAAACATAGGTAAAAATATAGTAATGCTGTCTAAGGTAGACAATATTTCAATTTTTCTGAGATGCAAATAAGCAAGAGTGGAAAGAAAAGGTGAAAGAAAATCATTTCACGCAATCACATGTAAGCCACATTTTTCAACAACTTCTTGAGCATATAGTATGGTTGTTCCAATGTCCCTCTTGGTCCCAGACACAGCCTCAAACAGATCTGAGAAGAAGCTAGGGTGAATATGTGCTCCTGCCAAAATTGACTTTGACTTTTCCTGTTATGAAATATAAATAAATATAGAAAAATATGGAAAAGAAAAAAATACATTTTTTCTTCAAAGAGGAGGGTTGCTTAGCATTTAAAGATTCGTTAAGTGAGGTAAGAGTTTACGGCAGTTCTATACAAACATAGTGCAGAGTAATACACTTCATATAGCATAAAGCTATGTGAAATCAAATATCCTGGGTTGAGTTTAGATAGCATCACTTTCAACTATAGATCACTGGCACTTTTTAACTATTCCAGTCTGCTTTACCTCTAGGATGGGAATAACAGAACTGACCATTAGAAGAGACATTTGGAGGGTTATCCCTGAGAGATTACTGCCCAAACAGAGCACTTAAGAGAGGGCCTGCTACCTGGTCTATGCTCTAAAAATGTTAACTGGCCTTTATTTTGAACTTTATTTCATTCATTTCCTGATTAACCACATACTTGCATCTTTTCCTTAAGCAAACTGAAATCAAGGACTCTATACTTAGTCAAAAGCTCATTTACAGAAAAAGAGACACATTTTCTACACTGGGTACTCCTTAGATATCTCTAACTCAGTCTAACAAATTGAATATAAAGATAATTCTTGCCAAGAAAACTGCTCAAAGCTATTGTTGATATAAAACATCACAAAAACAGTCATTTCCTTTTGCCCAGTCGTCCTAAGGTTCTTATTAAAGGTATATTGCAGGGCCCAGCATGGCAGACTCGTGGCTTAAGTCCTCTCCTTATATGTGCAGGAATTTCATATAAGCACCAGTTCTAATCCTGGTGTCCCTACTTCCCATCCAGCTCCCTGCCTGTGGCCTGGGAAAACAGAAGAGCATGGCCCAAAGCTTTGGGACCCTGCACCTGTGGGGCAGACCAGGAAGAAGCTCCTGGTTCTTGGCTTCAGGTTGGCTTAGCTCCAGCCGTTCTGGCTACTTAGGGAACAAATCAGTGGATGGAAGATCTTCCTCTCTGTATCTTTTCTTTTCTGTATGTCTGCCTTCACAGTTAAAACATAAATAACTCTTAAAAAAAATTAAAAAGGTATACTGCAAAGAAGAAAAATGCAGTAAGAGCAAAAATATTCATCACAGTGTTGCACACAGTAATACATTGGAGTGAACAAAAAGATGTTGGTAAGTAAAATGTATATAGTCCATCACTGTCAATTTTCTATCCTCCCTCTATACCTTTCAAATGAAAAAAATTAAATAAAATGAAGTTTTAAAGGTAAAAGAAATAGGCTAGAACAAAAATATGTAAAAATGTTAAATTTGAAAACAGGATTTCTGGTATGGATATACTTAATTGGACAGTGCTTAAAAAGGGGAAAATGTAATGGTTGAAACAGGAGGAGTGTGAATGAACAATGCCTTTCTTTTTTTTTTTTTTAAAGATTTATTTTATTTTTATTGGAAAGGCGGATATACAGAGAGGAGAGACAGAGAGGAAGTTCTTCCGTCCCATGATTCACTCCCCAAGTGAGCGCAACGGTCCATCCGAAGCCAGGAGCCTCTTCCGGGTCTCCCACACGGGTGCAGGGTCCCAAAGCTTTAGGCCGTCCTCAACTGCTTTCCCAGGCCACAAGCAGGGAGCTGGATGGGAAGCGGGGCTGCCGGGATTAGAACTGGTGCCCATATGGGAACCCGGGCGTGCAAGGCGAGGACTTAACCACTTGCGCCACCGTGCCGGGCCCGAACAATGCCTTTCTTTCCGATTTCTTTAATTCTATAACCTAGTTTGCATAGTTAAATGAAGTTCAACCACATCTCTGTTGTCTCACTAACTAGAAAAACCGAACAAAATAAAGATAATCTTAGAGGAAAGCCTTTAGAAATCAAAAAAGCAAGGTAAGATTTTTAAGTTTCTTTTCAAGCTACCAAGTGTGCAGAATTTAATTAGATGTCACTTAAAATATCAAGGACTGTGGTTCAACTAGGAAAAAAAAATGCAGAACAAATCAAGCAGTAAATAAGTCAGCTGATTACAAATGTGTGCCCTGACTCCAGGGGCCTTTAACTGTAAAATGTTTCCATATGAAGGATAGATTTGATACCAGGTCCACAGTCTCTGATTCCACCCCAATCCTAAGTTAACTTGAGAACATAACATCGATACAGTTGGGATGTTCAATTGCCAAAGCCTGGAAACATTGAGCATTATCCAGAGAAAGAAACTAGGTCAGTAAGTTCACTCATTCACTATTGCTGGAATCTGACATCTTATGGTGGGAATGTCACCTAAAAGAACAGTTTTCTTTTTTCATGTATATAATGATGTATCTTCCAGCTGACAATTTTGGCAGTTTGATCAGTCTTATTCCTATTTGACAGGAAAACAACTTTGTGCTAGAGCTAAGATTTGATTTTCAGGAATCTAGCTCCAAATAAAGGTTTATTCAAGAATAAACTGCACCATCATAGAAACATTTAATCTCTGTATTATATTAAACAAAAATTTAGTAAACTGGAAGATTTGTTATATTAACCTTATGATTCAAATTTAAAGTATGTAATCTCTACTTAGTAATTTAAAGTGGTTATGCACTAAAGAATTCAGCTAACATTGTAAACAATACTGGAATATTTTAAAAAGCCAAAATTAAACAGAAAATAATGACACTTTAATGATTTTTAGCAATCATATATTTTTTACTAATTAATTCACATTATTTATTCAGCTCAATCTTTAAAAAAAAATCCTATGCATAAGTGCTATTTGGTTCCTCAGTTCTAAGTCAGAGAATTCGTAATGCATCTTTATTAATTGCCAATGGATATTTTTTCTTCTTAGTCATTTATAAATTAAGGATTCATAATTGATGAAATATGGAATTATCCCCACATATCAATAAAGGCCGTGAGGCAGAGAGGTAGCTTATTCAAAGTACATGGCTGGTGAGACCCATGGAACAGCAACCAGCCTTGAGGCTCAAGTCTGTACTTTTAATTACTGTGCCTTACAATAAAAGCCTTTCACTGAGAAAGATAAAGTTATGAATGCATATATTCTTCATCACCTTCTGTACAACAACATACCTGGAGATGGAATTCTTGAATTCCGCTTCCACCTGTCACATTTCATTCAACCTCTAATACAATATACAGAGAGTACAACACAACTGGGCAGACGGATCCCCACCTCATGGATTTACTGAACAACCTAATTTACGTGTGTTTCTTACCATCTACACTAGCATCATCCACCAAAATGATTTCCTTCAGCAGTATTGCAGGTGAAGAATAGAGCACACTATGGACAGTTCTAAGCAGAGTGGACCATGCTTCGTTATGAAAAACTATTATGACACTGGTAGTAGGCAGGTGAGGGCAGCGCTTGAATTTTTGTTCAATACATCTAGAAGTCAAAGAAGAAGAACAGTTATAAATGGCATTAACCTCAGTTATGACACTGTTAAAATGATCAGCATTCAATCTTTATCACTGAAAGACAATAGCAAACAGTTCCTATGTAAAATATTGTTAATACTATCAAACATACAGAGATCAAAACAAATTCTTTACAAGTAACTTTGTTTATCCTGGAATCACATCCACTGACATGTGTTACAACATGTCAAAGATTACAACAGATTATCAAAACCAACTTCCACAGCGTCATTTTAAATACAAATAAGGCTTTAAGCAATGACTGTGAATTGTAAGGCACGTATAAATGTCAACCTTAGCTCAAATGCATCTTTTTCTTTCTCCAAGGAGCCATCCAGCTTTTTCATTTAAAATTTTGAAAGACCGTGCACAGTTTTACTAAATACTCATTTTTGTAAAAGGCCATCTCAGATACTTTGCTCAATGTGTAATGTATTATTGCCACTTTCTGTATTGAAGATTCTGCTCCAATAATCCAGTCTACAGTTAAATTACTTAATATCAGGTATTTTAAATTTACCTTTGAAAAGTATTTACAGGGATAGGTCTTTACCCTAGTTAAGATGCCTGAATACTTTAGTTTGATTCTCATCTTGGGTTCCTATTTCCAGCATACTGCTAACGTGCACTGTGGGAGACAGCGATGATTTAGCTAAAAACTGGGTGTGTGCCACCTTGTAGGAGACCTGAACAGTGTTCTTAGTCCTGGGCTTTGGCCCTAACTCAGCCTCAGCACTTGCAGCAATTAGAGAGTTAACCAGCAAACAGGAGACAGCTCTCTTTCTGTGTGTATATGAAAGTATCTCAAATAATAACTTAATTGTAAAAAGTTATAATTTAAAAATAAAGATCTGGGCCCTGGCATGGTAACCTAGTGGCTTAAGCCCTCGCCTTACATGCGCCAGGATCCCTACATGGGTGCAAGTTCTAATCCCAGTGCCCCCGCTTCCCCTCCAGCTCTCTTCCTGTAACCTGGGAATGCAGCCTAAGAAGGCCCAAAGCCTTGAGACCCTGCACCTGATGGCAGACCAGGAAGAGGTTCCTGGCTCCTGGCTTCGGATAGGTGCAACCCCAGCTGGTGTAGCCACTTGGGGAGTGAACTAGCAGATGGAAGATCTCCTTTCTGGCTTTCTTCTCTCTGTATATCTGACTTTCCAATATAAATAAATAAATCTTTAATTTAAAAAAAGATCTAAAATTAAAAGTCCAGTGCTTCTGTTACCAGCTCAAACATTTAAATAGGTAGAAATCCTTGACTCAACTGATTAGTGGTGTTACGCATTAGTAAAAAAAAGTTAATTACAGCTTCCAGATTCACTTTTATGAGGATGCCTTCTTCAGTGAACCAGTCTATATATATTAAGCCACTGGGTTTGAGGGATCTGGCAGTCACTGCTTTTGATACTGTGGAAGTGCAGATGAGTACCATCCCCAGGCTCCTGAATGTAGGTGAGGAACACATGAAATAACATACAGCAAGGGCTCCAAAATACCAGCACATAAAATAAGTCACATGTGCTCTATGGAGCAAATAAAGCAATTATATCTTTAAGGTCACTTAAAAACCATAAAGAGCTATACACAGTTTCGGGCAACAGATTGGAAAGCCCTCCCATGCAGTCAAAAGACATTGTAAATACACTGAACAATCAACCAGTGCTGTTTTAAATCCAAGAAAAGGAAGAAAAATGACTCACTGGGGGAGATAAGCACCTAATACAATTCAATTGCCCTGCCAGGGCAGTAGGGACAAATCTGCCCTCACCACGCAGTGTGATTTGCAAGCAAAGCTACCCTAAAAAAAAAATCCACAAATTCTCTTGCTCATGACTTTTACAATCTGGTTGCAAGAGGAACAGTTTGACTTGTCTTATATTCCTTTTCAACAACAAGACTTTAGACTACATATCTGTAGTGACAAAAAGGGTATCAGTTTAGGGATAAAGTATCAAGACAGGTTGTCAACAACACTGAGTAGAAAAAGGGGAGTGTGGTTCTTGGTACAGGTGGCTTCATTACTAGTGTCTTTTGATTTCAGAAAGCAATACAGATGCGTGATTTATCACATTCTTCTTCAGAAAGGCAGAAAGCAAATTACCTGTTCTGAATTGAATTTTGGAAAAACTGCCAATTAAAAATAAAGCTCAATATAAACTGCTGTTTCATACATAAATATGTACTTCTGAATAACTTTAATACATAGATAAAAGCTATATTTAATGCATAAGATCATGTAAACCTAAATTATAAAATAAAATTATGAAAATTAATAATACAGTATTTCCTTTTCTAAGAAAAAAGAGACCCCTCATGATATATATTCTTACAAGCATTTTGCGGAGGGATGGAAATTCAGATTTTCCTATATTTGCCATGTGGGTAATGAATATAGTATTTACCAAGAATACCTAAAAGGTTTTGAAGATTTAAGGTATAGAACTGCATAAAAGTTAATTCTAACAGAATATTACCTATTTAATCTTTCCGGGCTTTCCCTCAGCTTAAGCTAGAATGTATTTCCTTAATTTATAACTACTAATATCAGTTAAAAGTATCATGTTATACACTACTGTAAACCATAAAATTTCACATCATAGCTTTGTAAATTCAATTTATTTTTAAAAACATTAAATTTGATCATTTCTTTTAAAAAAAGATTTATGCATTTTTAGTAGAAAGGCATATTCACAGAGAAAAGGAGAGACAGAAAGAAAGATCCTCCTGTTTATTGGTTCACTTTCCAAATGGCCCAACAGTGGAGCTGAGCCAATCCCAAACCAGGAGCCAGGAGTTTCCTCCAGGTCTCTCACCCAAGTAGAGGGTTCCAAGGCTTTGGGCCATCCTCCACTGCTTTCCCAGGCCACAAGCAGGGAGCTGGATGGGAAGTGGAGCATCTGGGACATGAACTAATGCCCATATGGGATGCTGATGCTTGCAGGGGAAGATTAGCTAATTGAGCTATCATGCTGGGCATGATAAAAATCACTTCAGGTAATTTTAAAACAATTAAAGTAACTTGCCAAAGTGACTATATTTCCAAAGTATTTGACAATTTCGATTTACAGAAACTTGTTTAAATTAATCACATGACCATTATGGCCTCGCAATTCTTTCAGAAAACATATTCCTTGCTGATACATGCTACAAAGTATATACATTTTCAAAACTTCTATAATACCCTACCCAAATTAATCAACAATTAAATCCTCAACTCTAACAAAAATATACCTGATGTGCTTAGTTATTTTTAACTTCTTAAGGATCTACATTACTGAAAACTATTACATCTTCTTAATGCCACATTGGTGGGGGGGGGGTATAATACTTTATACACATTTCTTCACTTCTTTAAAAATGAAGAGGGGGTATTTGGCACAGTAGCTTAAGTCACAGTTATAGACCTCCACAGCCCACACTGCAATGCCAGAATCACTGCAGCTACCCTACTTCTCATCTACTGTCCTGTTAATGTGTATCCTATGGAAAATGATGCCTTGAAGTATCTGGTCCTTGCTACTCAAGTGCAAGATGTAGACGGAGTTCTAATATCCTGGCTTTAGCTAGACACAGCTCTGGATATTGTGGGCATTTTGGAAGAGCCACGGAAGATGTCTTTGGTGCTTGCTTGCTCTCTTCTTAAGTAAATAAAAATAAATGCATAAAAAAGTTACAAAACTAATGATAAGCAGGAACAAGCATTCAACCTGTTAAGACCCCCACATCCCACAATGGAATGCTTGGAATCTATCTCCTTTCTCCAGTTTCCAGCTAATGTAGACCCTAGGAAGCAGTGGTGACAGCTTAACTAATTGGTTTCTTTGCCACCCACTTGGGAAGGGAGTTTCTGACTTCCAGTTTTGGCCTAGTCTCTGGCACAGGCTGTATGCAGGCATTTGGGATGGTGAATCTACCAGACTCTACCAGTCTCTGCCTCTTGAATAATTATTTTCTAAAAATAATAAGTAATGGACCATGGATGGCAGGAACTGGAGTAAAGCAAAAGAATTCAGCATAATTTCTAATTAGAAAAATAAAGTTTGAGCAGGTATTCCTAATTATAAATCTAGACAACTTGAGTGAAACAATACAGTATAATCCACTATTATTTCTTTCACTATTATTTCTTTTACTGCCAAATGTATTTCTGTTGTTCCAGAAAACAAAATACGTAGGCATTCTTTGTCCCGTTTTTTCAAAAATCCACAGAGGCCATAAAAATGCTGGAATTTGAGGCCAGCAGTGTGGCTTGGCAGGCAAAGTTGCCACCTTCAGTGCAACATTGGCATCCCACGTGGGCATAGGTTCAAGTCCTGGCTGCTCCATTTCCTATTAAGCTCCTTGTTAATAGCCTAGGAAAAATTGCAGAGGGTGGCCCAATTACTTGGGATGCCACCACTGATGTGGAGGCCCAGAAGAAGCTCCCGGCTCCCCGCTTTGGCTGGCCCAGTCTTGGCTGTTACGGTCATTTGGGGACTGAACTATTGAATGGAAGATCTTTCTCTAGGTAAATCTGATTTTCAAAAAACCAAACATTAGAAAAAAAAAATTGGGGAATGCATTTTAACCACTACAGTTCAATCATAGCATATGAACAATACCTCATATAAAACAAAATGGCTAAGGATAAAGAGAAAGAATAAGAGAACTTGGAAGGGAACATTAATCAAAATACTGTCTACAGAAAAGCATGTGAACCAAGTGACTCAACGGAAAAGAACGCTGGCCTCTCAGTAGTTATCAGGAGGCAGCTCCACAGATCAGAAGAAGTTAGTCAGCAAAACTCTGAAGAATCATGATGAGACTATTAATTGTAACAATAGTTTCTCTTAAGGAAAAGTTTCCAACTCAGAGGGAATTATGAATTATAACTATGCACTGAAAGTAGCCAAATAGTTTGTGACTCAGTTAATAAACCCAAAGACCACTATCAGTTAATAGTATTGCAATCTTAGCACATTTTTTAACATTTGTATTCTGTAGCAATTTGTACAGAAACAAAACAACTCCTTCATCCTCCTACAATTCCTGTTAAAAGAACTGTTTGATGTTTCCTAAGTAGATGAGAATACACACACTTAATGATAAAGCATTTATTTCCTTGTAGAGAGAGATTTGATGATGAGTTCCAGTTTTCCATATTGTAAGCTAACAACTTAACATATCTGCACTGCTTCACCATATAAGCATAATGATATGCAGCAAATAAATAAAAGACCGAATAAACAGCATTTACAGATCTTCTACCTTGGAGTGGCTAAGGAACAAGCCAACTTCCGTAGCTAATATTTCTCACCCCATAAGCCCTGAGCAACAAATAACAAACCATAAATATTTTTCAACATACTCAGGAGGTCGAGTGTCTGGCCCAAGATCGCGATGTAAGGAAATTCTGTCGCTTGCAAAAGCATTGAAACAGTGTTTTTTTTCTCCGCGTTCTTTTTCCTTCTGTTCTTCAATGCTTAAATTGGTTGTTTTGAAGGCTTTGCCAGAAGCACCAGGTGCATTCGAATCCTGAAGTGGGCGGTCCAGAACAGGTTTCAATTCTGCAGCTGTGTAATATCCTTGCAAACAGGGTCTCTCACCAATGTCAATGTTTTGCCTGACAGGTGCTCCTATTTGCATTTTTGGCATTGCATCTTTAATATTGTTTACAGCTTCCAGCATTAAATTAAACATTTTGTTTTTATTTTTTTTCATGCTGTTTTCAATTCTTGATTCCTCTTTGGAATACTGAACACTTACTTCTCTTTGAATTAAAATCAAAACTATTACAAAGACAAAAATTACTGAACCAAGTTTCCAAAACTTTTTATAATAATGTCTTTTAATGTGTAATTTGACTAGGCGCTTTAGGTGAGCCATTCTGACATTAAAAGCTTGTCACTTGACAAATAACAGTTATGATTTCCTCTGTTACTTATCTTTTTTAGCATAGATTTGCTGGCAAGAAGATTTCTTTAAATGGTAATGCCTATAAACAGAAATGGTACATGGTATTAGTAGCTATTCATTACAGTAGGCATGGTTCAATCCATTCATTCAACCAACAACTGCAAGTCAAGTACAAACAATGTGCTATTATGATTAACAAGAATAAAAAGACACTTTGCTCTCAAGAACATTACACTTCTGTACGAAAACAACTGCTAAAATTAGCCATAATCTCTTGGGGCTGGAAAATATCAGGGTTTCAGGGTTTTTCTCTAGTAGAAAATACATTCTTTGTTTATTCTGGCTAACATCTACTCTATGATATGTACAAAATTACTTCCTTTAAATATAATTTGAAGTTCTAAAAGCTTTTTTATTTGGAAACTAAGGAGCCAAATAACTTTCCTGAAAAAAACTATTTTAAAAAGGCAGGAGTCACAGAAAGCAAGGTGCGCTGACAGGTGCTACCACACATCCCTCCAAAGTAGTGGCCATCATTTAACCCAGCTTCCCTCAACAAGAGAGCAACTACTCCCACCAAAGCTACTGAAGTAATACAGCAGATCCACAAATTACAAAACTAGCATTAACTTGATAGTACGTGTGAATACTGACAAACCCATGCACAAGAAAAATCAAGCACACTTAGTTCTTACACAACAGCTGGTTGGAATGGCTCACACAGATACAGAATCTAATACCAAGGAGAAAATGCATTAGCTTTACATGCACTTTGGCTTCCAGGACAGGAAAAAAATGAGAATTTAGTTTGGTGAAACAAGCCAAAACTCTGCTTGCAACTAACATTAAGAATGGAACAATCAATTTCTAAGCCCAAATCTGAGCCACAAGCAGGAAAAAGAGAGAGAAATTAAAAAAGAAAAAAGAAAAGAAAAAGGAAAGAAAAGGACATTGATGAGAGCTTGACTCTCAGTGGAGCCTAATTTTCTTCATGATGTTGCAATAATATAACATAAAGGGTCTCAATACACAACTACAAGCCATTCATCATTATAGCCAGTCAAGTTTGGCAGGGGCTAAGACTGAAAACAATGCATGTTCTCCCTAAAGTCTTGACATATTTGAAAGCAAAAGTCATTTATAGCAACAAAAATTCACTTCGACACATTATTCAGTGTCTTCCAAAGTCATCATTAAATTGAAAATAAGCAAAGTAAAGTTTTAAGATGACTCTCTGGCCTTTAGCATGAAATTTTAAAGTTGAATAAACAAAATAGGCAGTACTTAATTCCATGCAGTATTTCTAATGGGATCTATTCTTTTCAGAATAGCATGCACAGTTTGACCCTTATAATAACTCAATTTTGGGCCCAGCGCAGTAGCCAAGCAGCTAAAGTCTTCCCCCTTGCACACGCCAGGATCCCATTTAGATGCCGGTGCTAATCCCAGCAGCTCCACTTCCCATCCAGCTCCCTGCCTGTGGCCTGGGAAAGCAGTCAAGGACGGCCCAAAGCCTTGGGACCCTGCACCCGCGTGGGAGACCCAGAAGAGGAGAGGCTCCGGGCTCCTGGCTTCAGATTGGCTCAGCTCTAGCCGGTGTGGCCACTTGAAGAGTGAACCAACAGACTGAAGACCTCCCTCTCTGTCTCTCCTCCTCTCTGTATATCTGACTTTCCAAAAAAATTAAATAAATCTTAAAAAAAAACCTCAATTATGATGCTGTCCATGAGATTCTATTATCTTTAAGCTTTAAGAGCTTTATATAAAGAATAATTTGACTCTACCCTTTCATTCAAAGACCTTAGCATAAGATATGGCAGAACCATGTGCTTACGGCTGCGTAATTTCTGTGTCAAAAGTTACGCTCTACGGTGGTTACGAAATTAGATAGCCATCACCTTCTAGAAGTAGACTAGCATGAAATGTGGTCAATCGACAGGCAACCACAAACCAATGACCTGTGTGCGAAGGTAGGAGATTATAAAAGTATCATAGAAAGACAGCTAGGAAAAAATTTCTAATAGTAGCAAAGAGACAAGAGACAAGTTATGAAAAATCTCCACAGACAATGCTGATAATCAGAATTGTTTAAGATAAGCAAATTTTAAGCAGACATACAAGCCAGGGAAGACAGAAGAATTGGAAGAGGCAAAGGAATAGAAGAAAAGACAAGGTCATTCCTGGAGTTCAACAGAAGGCACAGGGAAGGGAATGGCAGTTTAGGCTGGGAGATCAGTCAAAAAGACCCATTCATGAAAAGCTTACTGTGTATCTGCCAGTGAATTCACAATTCACCAATCTGGTTCAAAATGGTTGAACTGGAAACAAATGAATGATTTGGAGGAAAGATCTTAATCACATTTATATTTTAGGAAGATCACAGGTTTGAATAGAAGTCACTTTGATGGAATGAGTTAAGACAGTCTTGAAAACTGCAATAGGATTTGGTAAGGAAAAGGGAAGAAAAGTGTTCCAGAAAATGATGGACATTTTGAAGCCAGGAAATACAGAAAGATAGATACATTCAGGTTAGGAATTAGGGAGATTACTGGTTGAGTTTTAGAAATGGTATACATGAGATATTAACAGGACTTCCAAAGAGGACTTTCATTTTATTTACACAAATACACACACATATACAAACTAAATTAGGGAAAAGCTGTGTGCTAGAGATAGACATTTAAGAATTAGTCTCGGAGGACAAAAGTGTTCACCTGCAGACTATACAAAAAGGTCAGAAAAACACATTTAAGAGGAGAAAAATACAGATGAGAGAGAGAGAAAGGAAATAAAGAAGAAAGAAAAAAAGAAAGACCGAAAGACCAACCAGTTTTTCTGGCTTATTCATGGAGTAGGCAATGGAGAATAAGCAAACAAGACAACCAGAATAAATGAGACATCCAGGTCAAATGAAGGTAGATTTCGCAATCTTCATGCTTTTCTTCAGACATGCTGACAACTGGTTGATCATTAAAAAGGAAACTTCATCAGATCTTGCCCTACAGGCTTTACAGATCTCATCGTACAGACAAACTCTGGCATAGGTCCACAGACTAGATGTAGTTGTGTCCCTCAAATTCTAGAGTTTAGGATTCAGAGAACCTTTAGACACAGGCAAGTATAACAGTGGTTCCCAACCTATGAAATCAACTTGGTCACCTATGTACACTCTTCTTTCTGTCCCCAAGTCAGCCACGATAGCATATTTTATCCCACTGTTATCTACGAATACTGGATTCTCTGAAGGCCACAGATAGGATAGATTAGGAATTCCAGAACAATTCAGCTGTCCTCAAGATATTCTAACAGCACAAAAAACAAGAGCAAGCACAGGAAAAGCACAGGTTAAGGAGATTTTTATCTCTGTAGAGTACTGTTTGCTTTACCAATTAATTTATGTCAGAAATCATTTACATGGCCAGAGTGGAGGATCTGGAAGAAAAGAAAAATGAGTATTTTTTTGCTCCTTGCTTCTGCCTGGTGCAGGCAGGGGAGTCAACCAACTGATAGAACATCTGTCTGTCCCAACCTCTTTCTGTTAACTTGCCTTTCAACTGAATTAATATCTAAAAATAATTTTTAAAATGAGTGAAATTCCTTAGGCACCATCTGACTTAATTGTTTTAGGGGCAGGGACCATGCCGTTTTGCTGCTGCTGTAAGCTTTCTAAGCAATAACTCCAATAGGTAGCAAGGGCTTAGAATCTACCTCTTTTATTAACTTCTAAAGTAAAATAAATTGACAGGTCTAGTTTTTAAAAATATAAATTTGCATTTTAGTATATATGTCAACATCATTAAAAAGTGCTTATAATAATAACCACAAAACATGAAGCAATATGCACCATTCCAAAATGCTATAAGGCTGGCTTAAAGTCCTTGGCTATTCTCATAATAAAAATATACTTCCATCTCAACAGAGAAATCCAAAATGTTACCAACATCTAACTACAACATTGTGGCCCACAGTTATCTAGATTCCTGTGATTGTGAATCACCTGGACATCTTGTTTAAATGCGCATTCAGAATGGAAAATATCAAGATAATAGTCATGATTCTGCCTCCAAATGGAAAAGCACACTGGTGTGTAGCACTGTTCAACTTAACAATTCTACCTGAAGCAGTTTTCTAAAGTAGTGAAAAACACAATTTTTAACTGTGCATGAAAGTAACATTTGAGAATAGCGCTCATAGCATTTGTTTCTCTATTGTGACAATAAGCCATTTCAAACCCAGAGAGGTAAGTTCTGTTTCTGAATGAATTTAACTGGCACAAAGCCTAACTGGTATATAAAACTTCTTTGCTACAGTGCTGTAAAGAGTTTAGGATAACCACATCAAGCACGGAGATATAAAATTACATCCTAAAATTCCAGTACTGATTGTAAAGCTAAAGAAATATACTATTGTGATTAATTCTCCTTAGATCTTTGGCGTACATTATCATCAACACTAATCCGAACTGCATTTAAAACAAAATAAAGCTCCACCCTGATTATAAACTCTAAAGTGCTTGGGCAGAAGTTCTATTAAGTGCCTCTCAAAAGCTGGTGAAAAGATTAGCCAATTGGCAGAGTTGGAAGTCATTTCTGCTTACATCTATTGCAGAATCAAATTTGCCAGGGATTTACTGGTGCGGTTTGTTAGTTTTGATTATATTTTACGTACACTGTTCACACCCATGCCAGATATTTTTCTGGACTGCATGACAAGAGACCTACAGAGATGCAAAGCAAACTGCAGACACAACCACATGCCATCTGATGACTTTTTGAACAAAACAACCTGCAGGTCAAGCCTAGAGACAGAGGTGACCAGCAGCCAACAGTAAAGAGGTTTCATTTAGCCAGCATCTGATCAGATAAGTATTTCCATTAAAATCCTTGCATATGAAAGGCCAGTTCAATCCTACCTTTGCCTGACTGGGGTCAAATAATTAGGGAGGGTGTCACCCAACTCCTGGGGATGTGAGTTCACACATGCCTTCACACTGTCTTCTCAGTTACTTTCAGTTGACACAGGAAAAACACCTATTAATTCATTATAGCATACTTAAAGTACAGAAATTCTGAGAAGCAA